TTGTTTTTATTGTGAAACATAATTTCCGAAAAAAAAGTGGATTGGCAAACGCGGCAGAGTACAAAAAGTCAGAGAAAAAAAACTCTTTGGTGTCAGTGTCACGCGTGCCTCGTGACTGTTTCCATTGAATGCCTTTAACTGCACTACTACCGAAATCGTTGACTCTAGAACGCAGACTGGCCGAGTCATGCCCGAGTCAAACACTAAGGTGCGACGAGGGTGTACCTTCTCTTAATGCAGTGGCACTTGGTGGAGCCGGAGACGTCGTCGAAGTGGTCGTGGCACCGCTTCTTGACGAGTGGCGGTTTTCCGGAGGAAGAAGGCGGCGGAGGCGAGGTGAGGAAGAGAGAGGAGGCTTGGTTGCCGTTGGAGACGCTGCCATCGGCGGTGATGGCGGAGGAGATGAAGGAGGAGTTGGAGGAGACGCTGAAGGTTTCTTTTGAGAATTCGAGATCCGAGGACTTATTGTTGGTGGCGGCGAAGATGTTAGGTTTGGTGAAATCGAGAGTGAGAGAGTGCGAGTGCGTGGGGGCGAAGGTGGTGGGAGGTTGGTGGACGGTGACCGGGTTAGCCGGTGGAATGGGTTGGTTGTTTGAAGGGAGAGGCGCGCGACGGAAACGGGCATGGCCGGTTCCGTTGAGCAAAGAGATGAGCTTTTTGAAGTTTGAAACGGTTGCTTGGGTGAGGTGAGTGTTGAGATGAGAGGGTTCGTTGGAGAGAAGATGGATGAAGTTTTCCATTCCCTTGAGACCTTCCATGGCTGCTTCTTGAATTGCCTTCTGTTCCTCCATTTTCGGCAAGCTCATCAACTCCACAGCCATTTATCTTCTCTCTGGGTCTCACTCAGAACGCCATGGAAATGGAAAATGAACAAGAGAGGAAGGTTTAGATTTGTTCTGTTGAGAAGAAGAAGACACAGCAACATATAATGGGGACAACCTTAAGTCACAAATTATAAATCTACAATATTTATTCTTTTTGAATACATTTATATTTTTTTATTTATTTGTGAAAGTGATAAATCTTTGAATATTCAATCGTCCACCATACGTAAATGTCAACTTACAGATTCTTTTACAAAGGTTACTTATGTGTTTACTTGTTTTCAATCAATTGATGGTAAACTAAATATTAAACCCAATTCTATAAAAAAATATTCATTTTAATTAATAATATATTACTTAAATGAATATTTTAAAATAAATTAAGTAGATTCTTCTGACCGATTAAGCGTAAATGTATATATAATATGAATGGGTGATAGAGGTTCAATAGAACTTGTACACAACCACTGTAATGAATTAATTTAACACAGCAGAAAAAGAAGGTGAAATTTATTCCTTGATCCACGTGGTTGAAAGAAAGAAAGAAAAAGTATGAAAATTGTTAGACGACAGGATAAGAATGTTTTTAATTAAAAATTTGGGTGAAAGACTAATCTTTTGTTCTCATATTGAAAATCAGAATAAGAATAATCTGAAATTGTAGAACCAGAATATCTAGGTCGAACGGTTTTAACAAGTTGTACAAATAGTAAAATAAATAAATAAATAATGAATATTTTGATCTACATTGGTTTATGAAATAATATATAATCGTACAAAAAAGAAAAATTTCATTACCTAATAATTTCTTATTAGATGCTTTAAATGAAAACCAATAAAGAAATGCCAACCAAAAACGAACGTATTACTTTAAATTACAGTGCATGGCTGCCTGTTGTTATTCCATCTTAATTTGTGTTTTTTTTTTTCTAATGACTTTTTGATGAATACACGCGTTAAATCAGAGGAGTAAGAAAGAAGGAAAGAAGAAAAAGAGAGAAAAACAATAAAAAAAGTTGTTTAGTTTTTTTTTTTTTTAAAAAGACAGAAGAGAAACAATGAAATGATAATAGTTGGTTTGATAGATGTGATAAAGTAAAAAAAAGAGAGTATATTAATACGTTTATAAAATAATTAATGTAATAAATTTTTAAAAATAGAAATTTAATAAGTTGAAATAATTTTAAATTAAACTAAAACAACATTATAAAGTATAGTAAATAAAAAATATATTTTTAAATAATAGTGTATTAAAATAAATTGCTATAAATTCATTAAAATTTAAATTAACTACTTTTATTTTATTTATTACTTTAATATTTTTATTTTAATTGTTTATCTAAAAATATAATTATTAATAAAAGATTGACATACATTACGCATTATCATTTGGTTATGATTTTATTTATAACTTATTTTTTTGTCTAGTTTTTGGCAATTATTCTATTTCATTTTTTATGTTTTTTGTTTATTTACTTTTGAACAACAAATGGTCACTATAGTTTAAAACAAATATGCTCTTGATGATCCCTCAATGAGAAAAGGCTTGTATGACGAAGGAAAGAATTTAACCGTATTTTATTATTTAAACTATAAATAAAACCATAATCTTATCCTCTAAGTTTTGTTTAAAAATAAACGTTCAATGAATGCAAGAATAAAAGAAAACAGTTTATAAATTGTGGATAAACGTTTATTATTTTCCATTGAATTTTTTCTAACTTTACTTATTTGTTGAAACATATATGAGTACTCATAATGTGATAAACGTATAACGCATAATATTTTATATTGACAATACTTTAGTTTTTATAATTTATGATATTGTTGAGGAATTCTTTTATTCTGATAAGAATATATACTATAGTATATAAATAGTAAAATATTAAAAAAGAAAAGATATTTAAACATAAATTTTTGTAATAGTGGAGTGTGAGATTGGCATATTATAGATAGAAGAAGAAATCTGCAAATCTCTTTCAGAAAAGCCCTTATGATCTGTACCTCACAAAGTGCATTTTAGTATTTTATTTTAACGGTGCCACTTATTTTAAAAAATATGATAATTTATTTTTATAAATAAGATAGGGTTTTGATAGGTTATTCAATCAATTCACAACGCTATAAATTAGATTCTAGAAGGATATGTTGGAGGATTTGATTCCTTGTTCCATATAATCTTGCTAATAAAACAATTATCATATTCTATGTAGTGTTGGATAGGACCCCTTATTTTTAATGCCATTTTTTAGTTATCCTATGATGTTTTCAACATTATTAAAATCCTTATAAGAATCTCAAGCACAAAGTCTAACTCATAGTTGTTCTTCATATATTTTAGTAATCAATGGAGCATCCCATTGTGCAAGTGTTTTGTCCACCGTCAACATAAAACTATATCTTAGTCAGATTTTGACCTAAATCATTCTTAAATATAACAACCAACACCATCTCTTTTGCACTATGGAAATGGTTATTGGACTTTCTGCAATTTGCAAGTTGTAACTCCATAATAAGATTCCCACATATCATTCTTTTTAAATCAATTTGGTGAACTCTTGCGTGAAAAATACAACTTTTAGGTTAAACAAATGGAAGTTGGTTAATTGTAGTTAAATTATTTGTTTATCATTAATCGTGTCTTAAGACACTTTCAACGTACTTCATAATTCACCTCATATGAGAAAATTAGATATTTTATAAAAAATTTCATAAATTTATTATTTTAAAATTTTGAATAAAATACCGTAGTTCATTATGTGAATTGATATTAATGTTATTAGTATTTCCTCAATAAACCCATCTAGTTAAGACTTTTCAACAATTTTAGTAGTATATTAGGAAATACTTGTCCATTTCTCTTATTAGTTGAAATTCTATTAAATAAATGAAATATTATATATATATATATATATATATATATATATTTATATATATGATAAAGCCTTTATTATTTATTATAAACCCGGTGAAATTATGAGTTAAATATTTGAGTAGCTTTGCAAACTAACATATTAAGGAGATTGAAAAGCTTGAAAGACCCATTCAGGAGGGGGAAAGTGAGTTCTTTTTGCACCGTTCCAACAATGTATCAAAGCCTGAACATAACAGGCAATATGGATAAAACTAAGGAAAAAAAGGAGAAAACATGGGCCTCTGAAAGTGAAGAAGCACAACCTTAGACGACAAAGAAAATAAAAACCCATAAATTTGAAGCATTTGATACCGACTTAGGTACAAGCCCAAGAAAAAGTACATGTACCCTAGAAAAAGGATATGTCATCCAGCAGTAGATGTACTCATGTATGTATATATAGTGTGTAAAACTAAATCTTGATGTAATAACAAATGGGTTAAGTTTAACTTTTCTTCGTAAAATTAATTCTTAAGATAAAAGTTATTAAATAGATTTTTTTTTGTAATGAAGAGATTTCCAACCAATTTAAATTTTATTCAATGTATATTTCTTACTAATACAGGTCCAATTATTAATTATTAATATCATAACATTTCTCAAATTTCCTCACACCTTGATATAAGATGTAACATAATCCATATTCAACTAATTTCACTTTTTTAGCTCAATTACAAATAAAAAAGAAAACATAAAAAAAAATGAAGAAATCGTATTTAATTTTCTTCAATTTATTTTTATATAAGAGTCATTTTGCTAAGTATATTGTAGTTTTAACTCTGTATCATTTTATAGAATAAAGATAAAAATAAATTTCATAATAAACAAAATAAAAGTAAAAATGTATTGGTTTTTATCATATAATAGTGTAAGATAGTCAAGTCAATNGTTCGTGCGTTTGAGGTTTTCTCTAGTTTTGATTTTCTGAGTGGTCGTGACGGAAAGTGAGAGAATGCACGAAGAAGCTTTACTATTTGGGTTTAGGTGTTGTGCGTTTTTTGGATTTGACTCTTTGCAAATTTCCATGATCTCTGCGACAGTTGGTTGTGGCGCGACTACAAGGATGGCGCAATTTGCTCCATTTGGGTTTCATGCACGTTTTCGGTGTGGTGGTTGCCATGATTGATGACGACGCATGGGCTAGGTGGAGTGTGGTTGAAGGTCGTGGTGTGGTGGTTTCTACGGCGGTTGGCATGGCCATAAGGGTGGCGGCACAATGAAGGAGAAATGTTCTTGTTTGGAGAATATGATGCTGACGTGGCAGCTTCTGTGGCAGTGATGATAAGTTGACATGTTCTGAATTTAATACACAATGACACGTCTTCTAAAAGAAAATTATAGCTCAGCATCTACTAACTTCGTCTATCAACACTTAACGAAAATGGCTTGATTGTTATGATTTTTCAAAATTTAAAATCCAACTGAAACTGTTTTCAACAAGAGGACTCTCCTACAAAACATCTGAGGGTTTAAACCTAATATTTACTATAAAACACATTATTCTTAAAGATAGAAAACCTATTAACAACTGTAAGTTTAACATAACCAATGGACATATATCGATAGGTTTATGTAAGGTCTAGTATTTGAAAAACACTAATCAGCTTATAAAAATGTAAGTGAACATGTTTTCACTAATCCCTTTACAAATTGTTGCTTGAAACTGACGTGACTAATATGTAATTAGAAAAACATGGCTTTCTATGATTGGAGTGCTTTCATGTGATAGACAGCTTGTCTTGTGTTTGGATTTTAGTATATTTTACATAAGATTATGATATGTTACAACTTTTTTTAACAATAGAGTATGTGTCACTATTTTATTGGCTCGTATATTTGAAACAGACCAATTACGAACTACCCCATAGGCGATTGGAAAAAAGCTGTAAAAAAAATTGTTAAATTTTTTTTTTCCTTTTACATAGTACACCTCTGCAAGCATTTCTCATATAAAATAGCCATGTACAAAATTACAAAAAATGAAACCAATTTTGTCTTGCAAAATTATGTATAACCACACAAGATTTCAGTTGCTTTATTTTCTTTTTCTGTAGTCATTCTACTGTAATGGCATCGTTAATATAATAAACCTTTTGTGAATATTTTTCACATTATGAAAACAAATTTATAAAGTCATAAAATAGAATACAGACATGTTTAACTCTTATTTAATTCTATTCACCTTAAATGTTGTTACGCGAT